TTGTTATGCAATTCATTCTTGGTGAAATAAAGATTTGACAGACAACTCACATCTGCACAAGGAATTGTTGAAGTAGTATCCATTCTATGTAAGTAGTAATGGGGAGATAAAAGAATTTTATTTACATTTTAACAATTGTTTTTGTCAAGAAGCCAAATAAAAAAACCCCACAAATTTACCAAACAACGCTACTCGTGCTACTAGCAATATGATGCTAGGTGGTTTTGTTACACTTTTGTTAAACATCTGTACTGCCTACTGACGACTCAGTCCTGAGTGTAAATGGTCATTCACTATGTAAAAGAAAAGGACAAAATTCATAAGGCCTATCTGGCCTAATTGATTTCTAAAATTATGTGTCATTATTCAACATTTTTCATTCATTCGTTAATTTCTTAATCTGTGTGAACAGCACTGTTCACTTTCATACCACAACAAAACTAGCTTACTGTACTGGTATCACTTATATTTGTATCCGTATAACAAAAAAATCTTGAAACAAGAATAATTTTGCAATACCTTTTTCATTTTGAATACTAAAACTTTTTAGATAATTAAAACATATTAAGTAAATGTTCATATCTACAAGAAATTTTATCAGCTGACTTTTGTAGAAGTTATGAGTCTTTGAAGCATGCTCACAAAGGTTCTTTTATTGATATCATTTTCATACTGGTCACATTTTTTTTGACCAGGCTTTGGAAAAGACATTTTTGAAGGAAGAACTAACAAAAAATAACACAGAAGTTTACTTTCTAGCTCATCTAGCCCCAAGCTACATGTCAGGCATTGTCATTACTTAAAACCATTAAATATCTTCTGAGAAATAATTTCGACATTTAAACCAAATCTTTTACTAATGATACTGGGAAGATCCTTAACTAATTTACAGCTTTTGTGGACAAACCCGAATAAGAAATGACCACCACAAAAGAACATAAATAGAACCATACAAATAGTAGATGCATGCATGTTCTCAGATACCATCTCCCATATTAAAATCACATTATGCAGAAATGCACCTAATGTGTTCCTCTCCTAGCCATCCAAAATCAAAGATTTGGAACATATTTTATCATAATCATTTGGTAATCAATGCAATTAGTGTCTCCTCCATGACAGTTTTGAACATTAAAACTAAATATTAAATAAACAACACTGCTAATGTTTAGTGTTTGGTTCAGGTTGGCTGTCATTGTGCAACACAGTTTAATATAGAACCCTATGGGAAAAACAGAGAACTCTTTTTGTCAGAAAACACTGTCAAACATCCAAACATACTATCCACACTGATCTGTGTCCACACTTGTAATTCATTGAAAAATCTTTTTTTAACATATTTACAACTTTGAAATTCTAATTTTGCTACTTGTTTTTCCTAAATTTTTTACCACTCTGTATCAGCTAGGCACAAATTACAATTATACAATAGAAATACAGGGATTCGGAAAAACCCTTTTTTTCCAATTTATTTGGGTGTATAAGCGTTGACCGATCGAAGAACATTTTGTAGCGATTCATACTTAAAACGTGCGCACGATCAATGCTTTTCCAACCCGATAAAAATACAACAAGAGGCATTTAATTCTTATAATTACATGTGTTTATGCTTCAATCGTAAAATTACTTTTTTCTTTGCATTGTTGTGACGTTGTTATGGAAAGCACGTGATGTCATGAATGATGCATTTTATTGAAAAAAAACAAGTGATTTGGAAATGCCTCTCGACAGTGATCAGCCAATCAAAAGTTCAGATTATTATGGACAATACCTGTTATAAAATTATTTCTTAACAGTATCAATTAGATTAAAAATCAAAGTACATTGCAATTTGTTTTGTTCTTCAAATTCTAGACACTATTTACAGTAGTTTAAATGCATTTCCATTCCATGTCCACTCATTTCTTGTCAATTTAATTACAATCTACCTGACAGGTATTGATTTATGGATACAGTACTTATTTGATAATGATATATAAAAAGTTGCAAAAATGAATATAATTTAGAGCAGAGATGAAAATTTGTTTGATTTTACCTATAAAAGGAATGATTATTTCGAATTCTCAATCAAAATAAAGATTCGTTTTAGAGGAAAGTCCTACAGTGGCTGGATGCAGAAATATAAAAAGCGAAAAAGGTGAAAAGACCACTACCAGCCACAAGATGTCTGGCCTCTCAATCTAAGATTAAACTTGCTTGTCTTGTGATAAATGTAAACCTTATCAAGAATTCATTTTATCAATGATACAACATAGATCCTCCGCTAGCGATATCTATTTTTTACTATTATATCAGGATTTGCAATTTTAAAGATTATATAAATGTTCATCATAAATTTGTATTCTGTTTTGTTATAACATTAAGCGCTTGGGTATACATGTACTTTGTCAAAATAGAACATTCTAGTGATTAAGTATTTGGATATTTTATCTAAGAGAACAATCTCCTTTTAAATCGTTCAAATTCGATCGCAAATTCTATCCATTTGTTAGTCTTTCATGTTACATTAAGTTTGCATTGATTTTAAAGTTCTTATACTACGTTCATGAATTTTGTTAAGATAGGGACATCAATCATAGTTCTGATTTTTGCAATTTGAATTTAATATTATAGGATCTATCAATGGGTTTCTTTTGAACGTAATAAGTTGTTGTTTATCATTAATCGATCGTCTATTAATGAATATTTTATTTAAAATATACAAAAAATTATTCAATTCAGACCTGTTCTGGTATTATCCTGCATTTAAATGGTAAATTTACTTTTTTCATAGCGGTGTCATATTAATTCTTATTTAAATTTATTTTTTTCTTATTTTGACGTAAAGTATTAAATACTAAGTCCATTTTTTTTTTACAGTTCAATACCTATCTGTTTAAGAATAATATCTTTGACATAGGTACAAAAATAATATATATACACTTTTACATCTATTACATATTTAACGATCGACATCTTTCGGTCTGTACTAAAAAAATAAAGATAAAATGTAAACTTCTTTTTAGGAAGGTCTAAACATAAAAAAAAAATACAGGTAATATTTTATCAATGAAAGCACTTCAAGTCATTCTCAGATGGGCCTTAAAAAAATGCAAACAACACGTTATAAATTTCATGTGTCCGAAGCGCTTTTCTGGATTTACCTTAATCAGGAACGCTCAGAGCCGAATATTTGAATAAAAATATAACAGTTTTATGCAAACACACAACGACCCATATGGAAAGTAGGCATAACCTTCAGACCTTCCTCACAGATAAATTGACTATAGTTGGTTTTGAGTGTAAAAATGTATACCAAAAATACCGAAAAATACCGAACTCCAAGGTAAATTAAAAAAGAATAATTCCTTATAAACTGACAAAATCAAGCGTTATCAACTAACGAGTGAAAAAAAAACTGTCATATTCCTGCAAGACAGTTTTACTTGTTTGTTCATCATCGTTTTGAATATTTTGCGTTTCCAATTTTTCGTCACGGACTTACCTAATGAAGGTTATTACTGATAAAAGTGTGCAGGACAGTTACTTCATCGCGTAAACTATAAGACAATAAAATAACATCCGAGTCTACGCTCTGTCCTGGTGTTCCTTGTATCAAATATGTTTTTCTGTTCATATTTAGGTCATAAAAAAGTGTACTTGAAGCATGCATGGTTACAATTCCCCATGGCAAAGGTTTTTACTGATTCTGTGTCGGTTCTTTGGTTAATATGCTGTAAATGTCAGCATTTTTTTTTTGCTCTTCAACATGTTTTAGTTTGAGTAAGACACAAGTGGTCATTTTATAAACATGTACGGAAAAAAGAAACAAAAACGATCCGGGAGTTACTATACATAAAACTGCACGACAAAATATTTCCGTGAACAACAGTAGTAATCTCTTAAAAATGAGCGTTTGTACAATTCAAACATGTCGTCATTCCATGCTGGTGGTTTCTTGCTTCACTGATGGCTCTGATACAGTGTTGGTGAATTGTTTTAAATACATTTTGTACGTTAAACGCGAAACAAACGTTGCAGAATCAATTGTATTATAATTTGATAATTACAGTAATCTCTTAGAACGGTTTTGCATTCTTACAAAGCCCAGGCAAGACAATCTATTGGTTTATACTTGATATGAAAAATATAAAACATATCATCTAAAATTATACAATTATATCCTTATCATAGCAATTTCATTGACATATATTTTATTTTTTAACAGACCAAGGAAATTGTCCTTAAACATTGAACGTTGAAAAATACCGATTTAATTGAAACAGAAGAAATTCAAAAATTTGAAACATATATTGAAAAAATAGAAATAAGCAAATAAATTCGGTTGATGAAGAAGGTCGATTCAGTTTTGACTGATTTTGAATCAGTTTCCTCTCTGGTTTTAGGAAGATAGTTTCAGAAAATGATGTATATATATATATATATGCTCTCTCTGCAAATTATTCAATCAATATAGGCGCATGGAAACAAGTTCTTTCAAATCAAAATCAGGACATTTTAAGAAATAAAGTTGAGTTATCCAAGGTATTCTAGACAATTTGAGGTTACTGTAATTTCACCCTCATCACGATATTTAAGGAAACAAATGATAAAAGGCATACATATAGACACATCAAATTTGTTTCCGTCATTTTCACAGAAAATGTTAAATTAATCAATAACTACATTTCAACTTAAATATCATCCGGGTCCTTCTTAACTGCATTTATCTAATTTATGTAATATAAAAAGGTTAATCTTCAGATAGATTAACATTTTTCAGAAAGAAATGTATAATTCTGAATTTTCATGAAAGTTTTAGAAGTAATTAGAAGTAATTCGGAAATGGATTAAAAAGGCAGAATTGAGATAGTTATTGATACCAGATTGTCGATGAATTTTCTGCTGAAAATCTTCATCTTAACTTCTGTTAATATATTGTTATATATTTATCCTCTTCTAAAATTAAGTTATCATCTTCACTATTCTTAACAACAACAAAAAAAAAAAAACAGTCCAGATAATATAATATATCTTTATTATGTGCCAATCTGCCTAATAAAATGTAAGAATCAGGCAGTGGTGAAAACATAACAAACAAAAACCCGTTCAAGTCCACATTTATTTACGTTCAAAACGTATAATGATACAGGAATATAAAATTCGTTTCCTTTTCCTGTTCTGGTATTTCAAGATATGATTTGGTTGAAATGCATTAAAATTATTAATTAAGGGGAGCTAACTCCTTAATTTGCTATCATTCTAAGCAAAAGTTATCTAGAGATTTCACGAATTACCAGACACGCATAAACAAAAGATCTACCATTTCTAACTCAGGATGAGGGTAACTTCAAAATAGGATGATAGGATGGTTAGGTCGGCGTTTTTTTTTTGCCATATTTCTAACTCAGGATGAGGGTAACTTCAAAATAAGATGTTAGGATGGTTAGGTCGGCGGCGTTTTATTTGACCATATTAAGATGTCTCATATCAGTCTTATGTGAAGTTAGTATGCTCCCAGCCTATTGTATTTTATAAAAGTGCACAAAATGCTGAAATAACACATCTACTTTTCAATATGCTGAGATAGCATATTAACTTCACATAAGACCGAAATAACACATCTTTTATGCAAAATTCTTCTAAATTGTCAGATTCTTACAATGACTGGTACTTAATGTGCAGGAACATTTTATGCAAATACAGGGATATACGTTGTTAACACTACACAATAAAGACGGGTACTTAAATTAAATAATTACAAATCAATTACAAATTTGAACACCAAGATGTATGCCATAAATTCTGGTTTAAGAAACTAGATATCAAGACGGAAGTCAAAAGTTCCAAATCTTAGATTCGGTCGGTAATACATTAAGAAAAAAAAACAGTGAAAACATGAAAGCTTAATAAAAGTGCACAAAATGCTGAAATAACACATCTACTTTACAACATGCTGAGATAGCATATTAACTTCACATAAGACTGAAATAACACATCTTTTTTACAATAAGCTAAGAGACACATAACACTGAAATAACACATCTTCTTTACAATCAGCTTAGAGAGCATATTATAATTTCACATAAGATTAAAATTGCACAACTTCTTTACAATAGGCTGGGAGCATACAAACTTCACATAAGACTGATATGAGACATCTTCTTTACAATAGGCTAAGAGCATATTAACTTCACATAAGACTGATATAACACATCTGTTTTACAATAGGCTGAGAGCATATTAACTTCACATAAGTCTTATATAACACTTTTTTTTTACAATAGTGGGGGAGAGCATATTAACTTCACGTAAAATTGATATCTAACATATACTTTACAACAGGCTGTGAAAGCATATCCACTATTCTTAAGCATGTGTCAATGACTGTATATGCTTAGTTTGAATCAACTATAGAATTGCCTTAATTGAATGTGTTCTCTGTGCAGTATTAGCCATTGATTCTTTTTTTGTTTTCTTTCTGTATTTCTGGACTAAATAACTAAGGCCTAGTATTACTATAATACAAGCAACAACTACGGTACAAATAACTATTTCTCTGTCTAGAAGCCCTGAAAGCATAAAAAGCATCAATTAGAAATAAAATTTGAAAAATACAAAAATAATTTTTAATATTGAATTTGAACTAATTGAATTATCTATACTAATAACATTAATATTGTCAACAACAGAAATGCGTCATATCGGTAAATTGGTTTTGAAGCACTACATAAAACTTATTTTCTATAAAAGGTGTGAAACAATTAACAGGAAATTGATAAATTTTGATATATCAACAAATTTATTTTGTTTTACCATGTTTACCGCAAACGATAGAATCAAAACCAGGAACAGTAATATACATGTGTATTCATTTTAGATATATTTCCTATTTAATCATTGTCCAGGATTTCACCTTATTTGATTTCCAGTGATGTTTAAAAGGCGATATAGATCAATATAATTCTTATTTCGTTGTGTGATCTACATTGTATACATATTTTTGTTATTAATTATATAGATATGTAGATATATAGATATGAGAAAAGAAAATGTGACAAGATCAAAACGAACGAATAAATGCAATGGATTCAAGTGACCAAACTTCTCTTTTGACTAAATGGCCATTAAACATAACAAATAACAGAATCGAATATCAACCATCAACCATGATACCAAATTTTACTGAAGCAATCGATTGTATGATTGATTAATTGTTGTTCGCTTTCCGTAAAGTGGCAGCTAGACATTTTTGTTCAGAAAGAAAGCAAATTATAAATCAATATTTATTAAAAATGCTTCTTGTAAATGAAAGTTTATTGGATACGGACAGATATTTGGCCTTTCACCAGGCCATTTATGGACCCCTCAAACAGTTGGTGCAAGGATACTTAACATTTAGAGAGCGTTGTATTCCCTCTAGATCTACACGAGGCATCGGATTTAACGTCCTCAGTCTGAACGGATGTGGCTGCAAATTTATATACCCACGTTTGAAGATGAGTTTTCTGATAAAAGCGATAAGAAAAAGACAAAGAATTACCTTATATCTATACACCAGTCATTCTTAGGAAATGGAAGAAAACAAATATACAAATATAATTTTAAACAACCATTGTCAAGTTTCATTACTTTGGACTGACACATGAACATGTGTGGGGTTAAAATATTTTTGGGCTCTTCACCGAAATGGAATACTAAAGGGTACATGGGACTAAGGTACAATAAAAAGTATTTAAAGCGCGCATTTCCACGAGAAAGATACCATCATGTGCAATATCCCCCCCCCCCCCCCAAAAAAAAAAAAAAAAACACAAAACGGTTGAAAACTTTTATAAAGATTTAGACGCAATGATTGACCAAGTCATAAAGGCAAAAAAAAAAAGAATTTAAAATACAGTGTTAAGAGCATTTTCTAATTCTTTCTTTTTTGTGTAATAAATTCCTTAAATTATTTGCTATTCATTTTGTAATAGTTTAGAAAAAAAAAGGATGTGGAAATTAACATTTTAATAACTTATTATCGTTATCGGTGGAACACATTATAAATTAATACAAATTAAGAATGCCACCTTGTAATTGAAGGTTTATTAGATAGGGACAGATAATTTTAATTGCACAAGGCCACCTATTGATCCCTAAAACTGTTGTATTAACATGTAGTGAACCGTTGTACTATGTCTAGATCTACACGATGCATCGGATTTAACGTACTCATCATCCTGACCGGACGTGGCTGCGAATTTATACACTCCACTTTTAAAAAGGGTTAACTGACTTGGCGATCGGACTTTGACAAAATGTGCCCATATTTCTATGCATCAGTCATCTTTAGGGGTATTGAAGCAAACACAGATTAAAATATGATTCAAAACAACCATTGTCAAGTTTCATAACGATGGGCTGGCTTATGAACATGTGTTGGGTTAAACATTTGTGACCATAGTGAAGTACTAAAGGATACATGGGACTAAGGTACAATAACAAAAAGTATTTAAAGCGCGTATTTCTATGGTACAGCGAGAAAGATACCATCATTTGCAATATCCATATCTAAATCATGCAGACTTAAATTCAAATATATGATTATTGAAAGTAACATTTAGTGTTGAACCAACTTAAGATTAGTGAATCGCTTTTTTTACCCCCGTCCCCACTAAAGAACATTGAAAACTATCATTATGATTAAGACGCATTGATTGACCTATTCATATAGGCAAAAAAGGAAGGATTCAAAAGACAATTTTAAGGAAATTTTTCTAAAAAAATGATTTTGTAGTGAATTTCTCAAACTATTGTTATTTACTTTGTAATGGTTTCGAAAAAAAAAAGGATGTGGAAATTAACTTTTTTTAACTTATTATTAGTGGATATTATTTTGTGATTTTTCTGACCCCATGTTATCTATCTTTGATATAAATTTAGAAATGTAGTAGGAAATAACCAAACCAGTTCCTAGTTAAACTATATATTTTAATACACCAACCATCGCTGCTTTTTTTCGTTGAAGTTGGGTTTGTTATTTCCGATTCTTCAGACAAGTTTGGTTTTGTTGTTTGTGTAAAATTCTCTACAAAAATAAAACAATAATTTAAGTAATACATATTTATTGTAGATTTTTCTGTCGCTTTCCAAGGTAAGGACTTTCGCAATTACGGATACAAAATGCACAAAAATGTTACTAAATAATTCTGCAATAATGATTAGGCATAGTTTTAATAAACACATTAAATCAAAAAATATCATAAGATAATCACGATTATAATATTAATCTATATAATAGTATTTAATAATAATAATAAGTAAAGATATAATTACAATATTATATTAACTTACTAGTATTATTTTTTATAATTATAAGACAAACGAAAAGGAATTCATACTATGTATTGATTAGGAAAACACATGTACAGATAAACATATGATACATGTAAGCAGCTGATTAATGCAAGTTCAAAGTTTGTTCTAATTTGTTGGTAGATAAGGCGTCCGGCAATTTCGACCGCCTTACTTCTGAGTTAATTTCACATAAACCGTTTAATAAATGAAATACAACAAATGAAAGATATGTATTGTTTTTAAAACTGTCAAATACGTTTCGACATTTATTATAACTACAGGTCACCGTAGGTCTCCATCAATGTGTAAACCATCCCCCGTATATTATGGTATAAAAGGCTGCAAAATACCAATAAGTGATTTAGTCATAAGACAAACCCAAAGACCTGACTTAAACTACAGTTGTTTGGAACAGTTCTCATCTTAAAATCTGTCAATAACTAGCTGTTAGGAGAATTGTTCGAAAACAGTTTCTAGAACTGCTCTCTTAACAGCTTTAGAACAGTTTCTGACAGATACTTCATATTTTGTTGTTTTAAATATTTCGGTCGTTTTTTTTGTGTTTTGCCATGTCGTTGTCCGTTTTTCATCGACCAATGAGTTTGAATATCCTGTTGGTACATCTCCCTGTTAACCAATATCTTTAACTTGACCAATTTTACTGCACCATATTTACATTTCGAAAATAAATGTGTCGTCAGTTGAAGAGCTGGTAAAACCAAAAAGGACAAAAAGTATGGACAAAGCCGAACAAGGAACCAGCGCCTAAAATAAGGAAGATATATTCCTTAATTTAGGTTAAGTTCACAATTTTATAGTAGCAAATTTCGAAAGCATCAAATTTCAATCACACAATATCCATGTGTTTATGCCAGTACCGAAGTACTGTCATGAGATTGAACATTTTATTGTATAGCTTCGTTATTTATCAAAAGTTGTATTTGTCCAATGAAAAATAAAGTAATATAAATTAGTTTTGAGTTTTATTATTCAATTTGAATTATATAAATTTCCAACTTGTAAATTGTCATTATTTGATTTTTTTTTTATATTTTGATTGTGCTTCGAGCTTATCACTCTTGCAAAATCCGCTTCAGTGAGTAGGCTTGTCGGACTTTGACAAAATGTGCCCATATTTCTATGCATCAGTCATCTTTAGGGGTATTGAAGCAAACACAGATTAAAATATGATTCAAAACAACCATTGTCAAGTTTCATAACGATGGGCTGGCTTATGAACATGTGTTGGGTTAAACATTTGTGACCATAGTGAAGTACTAAAGGATACATGGGACTAAGGTACAATAACAAAAAGTATTTAAAGCGCGTATTTCTATGGTACAGCGAGAAAGATACCATCATTTGCAATATCCATATCTAAATCATGCAGACTTAAATTCAAATATATGATTATTGAAAGTAACATTTAGTGTTGAACCAAATTAAGATTAGTGAATCGCTTTTTTTACCCCCGTCCCCACTAAAGAACATTGAAAACTATCATTATGATTAAGACGCATTGATTGACCTATTCATATAGGCAAAAAAGGAAGGATTCAAAAGACAATTTTAAGGAAATTTTTCTAAAAAAATGATTTTGTAGTGAATTTCTCAAACTATTGTTATTTACTTTGTAATGGTTTCGAAAAAAAAAGGATGTGGAAATTAACTTTTTTTAACTTACTATTAGTGGATATTATTTTGTGATTTTTCTGACCCCATGTTATCTATCTTTGATATAAATTTAGAAATGTAGTAGGAAATAACCAAACCAGTTCCTAGTTAAACTATATATTTTAATACACCAACCATCGCTGCTTTTTTTCGTTGAAGTTGGGTTTGTTATTTCCGATTCTTCAGACAAGTTTGGTTTTGTTGTTTGTGTAAAATTCTCTACAAAAATAAAACAATAATTTAAGTAATACATATTTATTGTAGATTTTTCTGTCGCTTTCCAAGGTAAGGACTTTCGCAATTACGGATACAAAATGCACAAAAATGTTACTAAATAATTCTGCAATAATGATTAGGCATAGTTTTAATAAACACATTAAATCAAAAAATATCATAAGATAATCACGATTATAATATTAATCTATATAATAGTATTTAATAATAATAATAAGTAAAGATATAATTACAATATTATATTAACTTACTAGTATTATTTTTTATAATTATAAGACAAACGAAAAGGAATTCATACTATGTATTGATTAGGAAAACACATGTACAGATAAACATATGATACATGTAAGCAGCTGATTAATGCAAGTTCAAAGTTTGTTCTAATTTGTTGGTAGATAAGGCGTCCGGCAATTTCGACCGCCTTACTTCTGAGTTAATTTCACATAAGCCGTTTAATAAATGAAATACAACAAATGAAAGATATGTATTGTTTTTAAAACTGTCAAATACGTTTCGACATTTATTATAACTACAAGTCACCGTAGGTCTCCATCAATGTGTAAACCATCCCCCGTATATTATGGTATAAAAGGCTGCAAAATACCAATAAGTGATTTAGTCATAAGACAAACCCAAAGACCTGACTTAAACTACAGTTGTTTGGAACAGTTCTCATCTTAAAATCTGTCAATAACTAGCTGTTAGGAGAATTGTTCGAAAACAGTTTCTAGAACTGCTCTCTTAACAGCTTTAGAACAGTTTCTGACAGATACTTCATATTTTGTTGTTTTAAATATTTCGGTCGTTTTTTTTGTGTTTTGCCATGTCGTTGTCCGTTTTTCATCGACCAATGAGTTTGAATATCCTGTTGGTACATCTCCCTGTTAATCAATATCTTTAACTTGACCAATTTTACTGCACCATATTTACATTTCGAAAATAAATGTGTCGTCAGTTGAAGAGCTGGTAAAACCAAAAAGGACAAAAAGTATGGACAAAGCAGAACAAGGAACCAGCGCCTAAAATAAGGAAGATATATTCCTTAATTTAGGTTAAGTTCACAATTTTATAGTAGCAAATTTCGAAAGCATCAAATTTCAATCACACAATATCCATGTGTTTATGCCAGTACCGAAGTACTGTCTTGAGATTGAACATTTTATTGTATAGCTTCGTTATTTATCAAAAGTTGTATTTGTCCAATGAAAAATAAAGTAATATAAATTAGTTTTGAGTTTTATTATTCAATTTGAATTATATAAATTTCCAACTTGTAAATTGTCATTATTTGATTTTTTTTTATATTTTGATTGTGCTTCGAGCTTATCACTCTTGCAAAATCCGCTTCAGTGAGTAGGCTTGTAAAAAAACTGGGTTCATATTTGTGTCCCATAAACATGATCTTGTCTTGATATACATTTAATGTATACCACTGGACGATGAACAGGTATCGTCGAAAGCATTTTATGTTTAAGACATTACATCATTTTATTTTTTGGCACAATACACATTTTCCAGTTAAAAGGGAAATGAATGGTCAAGTCACGTGTTTGGCCTATGAAACCGAGATTCAAAATGTATTATAGATAATGAACAATACAACAAAAGAGAATTAAATCACTAGAAATTGAAGAGATAAATACAAAATTATTGCCATCAAATAAAGTATTAATAAAATACAACTGTTACCCAAACCGTACACAGAAACAGAAAGTGGTTACTAATAGATTAGTGTTAACGATTGACAACTCTCTGCATTTTTGTTTTTACATTATATTACATGGTACTTTGTCAGTAACCCCCCCCCCCCCCCCAAAAAAAAAAATAAAAAATAAAATAAAACAAAATTTAAATGAATTGCCAAATATCACGATGTTTGGTACTCTGCATTTTATATTTGCAAGTACGCACAACTATGTTTTACCTGTGTTGGAAGTTGTTGACTGCGACGACGCTGGTTGAGTAAATAGTGTTTTATTAACACATCCTAGAACATTGTCACACCTAAAGAAACAAATAATTGTCTTTGAAATACCATTAGTCGGTTTATATCTTTAAAAAAACGGCGTTTCATTTTCGAAATACATTTTTGGGGATATATACACATACAAAACTAAAACAAACGAAAAACTGGAAATACATGCACATAAACTCCATCTCCCGTTCCACTACATAAATATTAAAAGTAACAAAATAAGGTAGCAATTACAAACAATTGGTTTCCCATGACACTAAACGTATAGTATAACTAAACTTGATGATTCCTGCATGTTCAGTGTTAAAAAAAATTTGCCTTTTTTCACAAGCAAGTCTTTTCGTAATCATGAACATTCATCGTATTCGGTTTAATTTCAAAACCATTGCTATATGCCGGTTTAAATGCCAGTCTCGCTCAAGTCCGGAAGCAGCCGGTCAGCACAAGTAAGTTGTCGGGAGAACGTGACAAATAACGTGTATATAGAAATAGGAAGATGTGGTATGAGTGCCAATGAGACAACTCTCCATCCAAGTCACAAATGTAAAAAGTAAACAATTATACGTCAAAAAACGGCCTTCAACACGGAGCCTTGGCTCACACCGCAAAGCGAGCTATAAAGGGCCCCAACATGACTGAGTTAAACAATTCAAACAGGAAAACCAACGGTCTTATCTACATAAAAAACGAGAAACGAGAAACACTTATGAGCCACATCAACAAACGACAACCACTGAACAACAGGTTCCTGACTTAGGACAGGTGGAAACGAATGCAGCGGGTTTAAACGTTTAAATAGGCGCCAACATTCACCCTAACCTGAAATAGTAGTGTAACATTACAACATAGAAAGACACACTATACAATATCAATTGAAATGGCTTAACTCAATCAAAAAGACATATTTACAGAAACAAGTAAACATACACTGAACGAATAAATTTGATCTATGACATAGTATAAATACAATATGCATATTTGTTTTCAATGACTTAAAATTTCAGTGGTTCGTCACATATTTTTTTGTTCATATTTTTTAGACGTCTTTGGTCAATTCAGGGACCTTTTCCTTTTCCAACGCAAATAAGATATTGTATTCCTCTATGACCACGTCATGCACAGTATTTCAATTTCAATAATTCAATCTTTTACCCGGCCACATTCTTAATGTGCCTTTCACAAGTCAGTAGCCTGTAATTCAGTAATTGTCGTTAGTTCATTTATGTAAAGGGTTTTTTTCCTCAATTGTTTTGTTATGATGGCTGCCGTTAGTTTTCTTGCTTTAATTATTTTGCATTTGTTATATCGTAGTATTTTAGAGCTGACTTTACAGTATAGTTAATAATCACTGAAGGTTGAACGGTGGATTGTTGTCTCGTTGGCAATCATGCCACGTCCCCTTTTCATATTGTAAAGTTAAGAAAATCAGAGGAAACGTAGGACAGCATGGCCATGTTTATTACACAAAGCATAACTCCCCATTCATATGAAAAAAGTAAAATCACAAAAATACTGAACTCCGAGGAAAATTCAAAAAGTAAAGTCCCCAATCAAATGGCAAAATCAAAAAAACAAACACATCAAACGAATGGATAACAACTGTCATATTCCTGACTTGGTACAGGCATTTTCTTATGTAGAAAATGGTGGATTGAACCTGGTTTTATAGCTAGCTAAACCTCTCACTTGTATGACAGTCGCATCAAATTCCATTATATTGACAATGATGCGTGAACAAAACAAACAGACACTATAGGTAAAAATGTCAAAAATAGGGGTACAGCAGTCAACATTGTATTATCATCTTAATCACTATAAAAACAAACAAATGTATCGAAGAAGCACAAAATGGCATACATCAAATTTAACATCCTCATTTTGCTTATATTATACGATTTTATTTATCTATGTAAAATCCACCCATAAAGGATGGAAGGTTTTAAGTACTGGCGTAAAATCGCGCGTTTGAAATTCGCACAGGTAGACATAAAATAATTTTGTCGTTCAAAGTATGAGGGGATACATAAATACAGAGTCACGTAAAATGGATATAACAAAATAACAGACTTACATCTTCTTATATCTATTAACAGTAAAAGTAATATTAATAATAAAATAAAATAATTGTGTGGTACAGAGTATGACGGGATACATAAGCACAGAGTCACGTCAAATGGATATCTCAAAAACAGACTTAACAGTAAAAGTAATATTAATAAAGATAAATAAAAGAATACTATAACACGTTATTAAGATGATAAACAACGTCAGCACACAAAATCTTTACTTCAAGACCATCGTGTATTAATTGTGAAGTTGATACGGAATATTTATCAACAAGTTCTTGGTACCTTCCGATGAACTTTTTTAGAAAAAGGACGAGACGTTCTTTGACATACCCCTGGTTCATCAACTTTCTGCTCAGACACTGGTGACGTTTTACAAAGTCTGAGTAGGAGCTGCAAGCTCTTGAATACCGAATAAGTTGGGAAATGTATATCCCATATGCAGGTGAAGTTGGTATATTGCTACTAAGGTGGGGGAAATTGATAATTTCAAAATTAAAATCGTCTCGTTTGTCATAGATTCTGGTACTGAGATGACTGTGTATGTCAAATTCGAGGTATAAGTCTAAAAATGAGGCGGAGGAAGCCGTGTCTGTTGTTTCTTTAATTTCTAGTTCTGGTGGATATATTAACGGAACCCAATCAGAAAAGTTCGGATTGTTAATGGAAAGAACATCATCAATATATCTGAAACTGAAATTAAATAACCTGGCTTCTTTGATCTTCTTGTTTTTGACAAGTGTCTGAAGGAACTCCGATTCATATGAAAATAAGAAGAGGTCGGCAAGGAGAGGCTCACAGTTCGTTCCCATAGGAATGCCGACAATTTGTTGAAAAAGTCTACCTCCAAATTCAAGAAATATGTTGTCAATAAGAAACTCCAGCATACTGATCACTTGTTCCTCTGTGTAGCATGTTTTACCCTTTTGTTCACTATTAACAAAATATGCCTTATGGTATCCCAGAGTAATAAATTTATAGCGTATGCTACCATTTTTATGATGAAAAGCATTGTGGATTATTTCTTTTAGACGGTTTTTCAATTTCACATGGGGAATGGTGGTATACAAGGTTGAAAAATCAAAAGTTTTGATAGAACTAATTTCAGGAAAAGACCGAGATTTAAAATTATCCAGAAGTTCTTTAGAGTTTTTAAGAATCCACATATGGTTAATACCACTACGCGAGTAAACAGTTTCACAGTATTTCTGAAGACCCTCTTTCACTGCGGACAGAATTTTAGTCAATCTAATGGACAATTCTTTAGTGGAACATGCAGATGAGCCGGCAATGTACCGTTGTTTGTACGGAATTTTGTGAAGTTTAGGTATCCAATACAAACAAGGTAAGTCCTCCGATTTGTTGTTCAATGCAATGTTCATTGACGCCATGAAGGACTTATGATTCGCCAAAATCTCATCCTTGTCAAATGATATGTTTTTGTATGTGGGATTACCTGAGTGCTAATTTATTCCTAATTCTTTTACAAGACACTCGTAGTAATACGATTTACATATAAAGACAATATTATTTGAAGCTTTGTCCGCAGGAACAACAACATACTTATCTTGAAGAGATGATAGACATTTCACAGCCTCTTTGTCTCTGAAAACGGACTTTGGTCGATCATTCACACAGTTTTTCAACTTATGAATGCGACGTTTTATCAGAGACCTGATTGTTTTGACCCATTCTGACAAAGTGTCTAGTTGAACTTCTTCTCGTTTAGCCCATGCTCTGGCGTAGTCCTCAATGGAATCCATAATTATTTTGAAGTTATGGTTCCAATTGACGTGTTGGGGTTCTCTAAACTTAGGACCATGAGAAATCACCTTTCGGAGATTTTCTTTGTGAATTATGTTTAGATCCCCAGTAATAACATGGCCAGAGGGGCCGTAATTGTAAGGCGAGTGGGAACAGTCACATGTCAGAGGGTTTTTTAGGTATTGTTCTAAATCAAGGTCCTGTAATGCTTGTTTATAGTTAAATATTTTGGGTGCAATGGTTTTGGTGTAACTGTAGGATACAATAGGAACAGACTGATTTTGAAAATAAATAGGAATTTTAAATGTTACCTCCTTGTGATGTAGAACGTTGCTGAGGTTGATTACATCAATTCCTCTATTGGTAAAGTAAACAGGAAGGAATTTCCTCTTTTCCTCATGTAAAGATTCCGATCTTACTGGTTTAAAAAAGACGGAAAAGAGCTACATCACAAATTATACTGACAAGTCTGTATATTGGAGAAAATGTATTTATGCATCCTTTGACAAACATTTTAGAAAATTAACAGGCAGTGAAAAAAGAATAGTTCTAATGTAATGTAACCCTAGCGGATGATGAAGATGAGAAAAAAGGTCATCAAAGCTCCCAGAGGGCGATCTAGATTTGGAAGACTTTTTTACATTAGGCCGATCGTAACGTTTTTGCCCATGAATACGTTGGTTTCGTAAGGTAGTTTAAAATAAACTCATTACATTAACATCACTGCAGGCTGGACTTGACAAATTTCCTACTCCTTTGACATTATCATTGCAACCATATGGCATTGCAGTACCTAGTTCCCTTATCCAGAAATTTTCTCTATCTTTTCGGAAAGGAGTACTAAGTACAGGGCTATTAGTGTGGTAATAAATTTTCTCGATGATGCGTACTTTCATAGATAAAGACGGATCATTGTCCGGTTGATTAAAATGGTTATAAAGAACCCTGAATTGCGGATCTTTATTATCAGACCGGTGTTGATTCATCCTTTTACGCAAAGTTTGTCGAGTTTCACCAACATAAAGTAGTCCACACAAAGTACATTCAATTCCGTACACGACATTGTCCGTGGAACAGTCCAGAGGCTCGAAAGATTTAGTATAATAAGTTTTTCCTGTAAAATACTGGTAAAATCAGGAGTCGTTATTAACATATTACATGTCTTACACGTGCTCCTTTTTCCTTTTTTGTGTTTACAAGAAGAAATGATAGGTGTAGATTCACTTGTAGCAGGTGTATTCAAACAGTCGAAAATATTAACGCAACATGGCTTTAATTTATGAAAAGTATCTGAATTTTTAAAGTAGTATTTACCTTCTGGCTGAACGTAAGTCAAATCAGGGGTATTTTTGAGGATATTCCGTGGAACACACAAATCAAATGCTACAGTGAAAGAGTGCCTAACTGGTAGATTTAAGTTATGTTAAAATCACAATTTTATAAGGAAACAGATAGAAACGGAACGTATGTATTTTGACTTTTGGATTAAGAGATTATACGGAATATGTTTTACATAACCAATCATTCACCTCTTTTGTCTTAAGTTATTAAGAAACATCGATAACAGATGCAGAAATTAAAAGATGAATTTAAATTTAAAGGAAATGAATATTTAAAAAAAAGTTTAGTTCCAGCATACTGTTACGCGTAGAACTTTTTTGTGATCAAGGAAAATGCACATTTTGCCTGAATTTATGTGAAATTTTACACGAAGAGCTCGAAGGACCACCTTGGTTTATTGATAACCATGTTAGGGAGTAGAAAGGAGTATTAGAAGAAGGAAAGAATGAACCTTATAATGTTATTAAAGTTTTTTTTTTTAGGTTAAAACACTTGTACATCCCTTATTAATACGGAGAAATACGTAATTATAATTTAGCTTTAAAATTGCGTCATACATGTATGTGTTAAAAATTATCTTAGAACTAAATTATATCTGCTTTTGGAAATCAGAGACACGTCATTTTGTATCTTTCAATCTTTTAAAATATGTAAGATCACGTAGTTTTGTCTTTGGAAAAAATAATGTTAGAACAAAGTTTATGGCAAGGAAAAGACGGGATAGTGTGTATATGTACACTTAAATGTAACCAAACAATTAAGCAGATGAAAAGAGCGCATGTCGCTATTATTCACCATTTCATGCATCTTAAACACACAATAAGACATTCAATACGGAGCAAAATCTCGCACCTCATTGCAATATCAAGACTGCCTATTAAATGTACAATGTATTAAATGTACAATGCATTAGATATACAAGTACCATCGATTAGAAAACAATGAATTGCTAAAAAGAGGGACGAAAGATACCAGAGGGATAGTCAAACTCATAGATTGAAATATCTATAAAACAGCATCTGTATAGTTGAGGTGTTAATAGTTGTCTCATTTACATTCATTACACATAACCTTATCTTTAAATATTAACAGTCTATAACTTGCATGAAAATCTAACAAGTATAATCATAGCTATGTGTGACGGTTATGCTGGAACTTGGATGCATTGACGAAAGTTTCTGAGATTTTAGTAAAATATATCGCTGTGTTGATTTTTTCATTGCCTTTATGAGGGTCGGTTCAAATCAAAACACTAGAGATGACTTCAGCTTCCCAATTGTGAACTCTCCATTTCTATGAAGCAACATACCAGCAGTGCTTACATATCTCTAGACCTTTACATCTCCAAGTTGATACGATATCTCAGAGCTTGCATTTATTTCCTATCAAGATTTTCGTGAAAGAGGGTAGCTGCTGACAAGGAAGCTATTAAACCAGGAGTTCCAACTGACGAAGTTGAAATCATCCATTCGAAGATTTTACGGACGCCATCACGAGTTGGTTGGCCGTTGGAATATATGTTTCCCAGATGACGACGGATAAGTTCCACAATGTTCACAATCCCTCCGTCCATTTTCCTCGAATGTAACTACCGAAACAGACTCATCAACGGGTTTGTTCTTACAAGAGCACCACGACGGGAGCCACATGTGTATCAGGATATGCTTACCCTTCTGGAGCACATTAGATCCCCACATGTCTTGATGGGGTTCGTGTTGCTCATAATGTAGTTTTGTAAACTGTTGTTTGTATTTTGATCGTTTATAATGTTTTTGGCAGGACATTGTCGGTTTGTTTTCGACTGTTCCTTTAATATCTTTAGCATCTCTTTTACTGTCGATATCATGACATTGTTTTGTTATAAGTTATGTCGTTAGTTTTCTCAATTGAATTGTTTCATAATTTTTCATGTCAGGACCTTTTCTAGCCGACTATACGGTATAGCTTTTTCGCATTGTTGAAGGCCGTACGGTTGCCTATAATTGTGTGAATCCACTTCATTTGAACTTTAGCAGACAGTTGTCTCATTGGCAATCATATATGCATACCACATCTCCTTATTTTTTATATAGGATTATAGTTGTTATAGTTAATATATACAGTGTACATTGATATTTGGAACGGCGTATTTTTATAGAAATTCGGTGTATACATATATAAGGTTTTCATGCCTTTGTAATGATTTATAATAGGAATCTCGTCATGTTTTCTTAATAACCATGTCAGTCGATTTTTTTCATTTATTCAGTGTTGCATTGAAATTGCAAATTATGTGTTCTCTGTATTTAATAGTTTTGTTTAATCAGTGTTGTTTTTAAGCTTTATTGATTTTTGTGGTTATTTAAAATAGCCATCTTTGTAAATTCTGCAACCAAATAATTGATTGTTGTATAATGCAGTCATCCCTATTCTTTACAATGCAGGTTCGTTTGCATAATTATATGGTGTTTATAATATATTGTTATGTTCTTATTAGGAACATGTGTTAAGCATGCCAAGACTATGGACAAAATAAAGCCTTAACTATGGATATTGCTAAAAGATGGCATATGTTTATAAAGTCATGACCTACAATGGGTAAAGTGAATCAAAAATTCATTTTAGAATTAAACTGAATTTTCTATAGTACACATTAGAGGTCTTGCTCGTTGTAAGAACTTGCTGAATAAACAACTCGACAATGAATACGTTTTTATATGAATATCAACAAACAAGACCCTCCCCAAAATGAAGAACGAACTTAGTTCTTATGGGCTATATTTTTTTAATATCTCAACGTGTATTACTTTAGCTTTTGTTTATTTATTAAATGCAATTAATTTATCATATTATACAGTATGAAATTTAAAAGGTATTAACATAAATACCAAACTCCAAGGCAAATTCAGAAAGGTGGAAGTGCTTGGAAACTGACAAAATCAAACGCTCGACTATTTCAATTAACAGAACGAATGGAAACAACTGTCATATTCCTGACTTGATACAGGCATTTTTTTAAAACAAAACGTGGGGTTAAACCTGGTTTAAAAGCTAGCTAAACATATGATTGATTGATTGTTGGTTGCTTAATGTAAAATGACTAAAGTTATGAATGTTAGTAACTGATGTGTAAAATATATAATTTGATAATAAAAGAAGACAAACTAATTAATATGAAATAAAAAGAAACGTACCTTTGATTAAATGCACAGGTACATGTCTGTAAACATAATTTGCCATACCAATTTGTCTCACAAGGCATACATGAACCACCTTTAAATCTGAATCCAATTGTGCATCCTATACAATACAAAATACTATTTATTTGGAATATTGAAATGACTTGACGGTTTTTGGAAACGTTCACTATTTAAAACAATTGAAACATGTTCTTAATTGTACACAACATACTTTTAACAAGCGATAGTTCACAACGTTTGGCCGCTAATGTATAAAATCACATTTAAATATGGAACGTTCGAAAACAATTTATTTATAAGGGTAAACTATTGAGTTTTTATTATATATACATTTCTTTTCTGATTGTCTAGATACTAATTACCGTGTGGACATATTATATGTCCTTTTACTTCACTTGAAATCGCGGCTTGCTTACTCATGAATAGTTTTTTTGTGAGAATACTATTAAGTAGATTGAAAGTACGTTTGAAAAAACGTATTGCATATATTTTTTCATCGTATGATTTCCGTCTATACACTTAGTGTATGGTCTTCATGTAGAAACTTTTATATAACGAAGCCAAAAAGACACAAATCATTTAATCTAAATGCGTATTTTACTCACATTACTTTGATTGACGACATGCACAGTTTGAAAAAGATGGCATTGGCTATGATAGAAAAATATTACCTACTCCTAAAATTCACTTTGTTACACAAAAATGAAGTGATACATACCAACACACTTCCCATTGACTAGCGTATGGTCAAAGCAACATACAAGATTTCTAAAAAAAGACAATGTTATTATGTCTATCATTAATATGAAGTAACAACGGTTACATGTATGATAAACTACGTTTAGTAGTAAACGAAATATTGATGTAAAGACGCAAGGCGAAACTATATATTTGTATTTATTATCAGAAAAAAAACCGGCACAAAATGTGGACATGTGGATGCATCATTAACTAACATTAAGTAAAATACACACATAATAATTTGACAACAGCCAAGAGCAACGGCCATATGTTACATAATGGGGTCATTTTACAACGCTATCTGTAAGAAAATAATTATGTGTTATACAAAATATACATTTTTTTTTCATGTAAGATAAAAATGTTAGAATAATGAATAATATAAAAACAAAACGTAAGTAGACACATTGATAACTTACATATTTTCTAGTATGACTTTGTTTTTATGGGTTATACCTAATTACATTACTTTATATAAAGTTCACAGATAAATCTGTACTGATATATTAAAATGGTGTCTATTTATTTAGTTTTCTACTTCAATACATCTGAAACGATATAAGATCGTCGTTTTGTAATTATATGGTGGTTTAAATATAGTAAAGGAACGTAGTGGTTCAAGAAAGCAGTCATTTGAATATTAAGCATGTAGTTAAATCAATTATGTGAAAACGAAATTCTTCTTCATCCAACACAGTGCAGTTTTTTAATTGAGAATTATTTCGTTATTATTACGCATTTAGTGTTTCATTTGTTGGGGAAAAAACTCTTCATTCGATACGCTGCAGTCCTATAATTGTGTATAATCACACAAAAGCTGATGCTGGGTGTGAACACAAATGTACAAAAAAATATTTACAGATGCCAGTTAAAACAGTCTATTGATGCGAGTATGCGATAGCTCAGTACACCACTTTATAGAAAGCATCTAGTAAGGTACTTGCCATCAAATGCTGTGAAAGGCTGTATACTTTATTGGAAGAAAGAACTAGACCATTTTAGTATTTAATATTGATTTTGTAAGCCAATGACAGCGGTAATCTTTATCACTGGCTGTATTTAATAAGTACGTATTGCTTTCGTATTTCAATAGAAATACATCAACACAATTTCTTCCTATAATAATTCAGACGACGTATAAAAAAAACATGGTTGTATCACCTCAGGGCGATATGCACCTTTAAATATGAATTCTAAACTTGACTTTAAAATTCAAGGTCTAATAGATATAAGAAGATGTGGTTTGAGTGCCAATGAGACAACTCTCTATCCAAATCACAATTTGTAAAAGTAAACCATTATAGGTCAAAGTACGGCCTTCAGTTGATTTATATGTGTTCACATCAAAATCACATATCTTTTTGCTTTCCATTGCAAGGCCGTTTCAATCAATCTAAGGGTTGGCCTTGTTCATTCCCCGGCCTTTCATATCATTGTTAGGTATCTCAAAATGTCTACAGATCCCAACCATTCAACCTTATAGCATATAGCTGGAATTGCCGTGATAAGACCTTTCCCAATAGCTCTTCCCCCGCCAACTCATATCGCTAATTACAACACATCATGAAAACTGTTTACATACCCACCCCTAAGATACATTGTATTAATATCATGGTAAGACCTTTTGACAGTAAACAATCGATCGTTTCTTTCAGGTTCATGCTTTTCCCATTATTATCTTAAATTGTCAAATATATCAAAGAGCTACACCCCTTAATCGTACATACACTGAACTTCCACGAAAAGACCTTTTAAACGCATCGAAGATTTTTCCGAGTGTTTAACAGTGCACCAGACACCTTCATTTCATAGTTTGTTAAAGTAAGTCAAAATTCCAAGCTATTAACAATAACAATACGTGTATCTTGGGTTTTATTCCAGTACAGTAACTCTTTAGTTTTGGATATGTTTATTGGGCCTTTTCTATACTGGGATAACTTTTATAGATGAAGGGGAAATATGATTTTAATTCTCCTCAAAGTTCCATCTAGTTATTAGTATTATCATTATTATAATTATCGTATACCGTCATGTGACTCTTATTGTATTCCTTTTCAAGTTTTTGGATAATAAAGATATCTTTATTTATCAATATGAAATGTATGATATCCAGGAGCATTGATCTACTTATATTAAAGAATTTAACGTATTTTGTTTTATTGATCAAAAGAGGTAAAGTAACCACATGTTTTTATTTTTTTAGTTATTGTTTAAGTATTGTATTAACGCTCACTTATCATATTTTACTTTATCTAATTGATTTAATACTCATATAAAAATGTTTCCCCTTATAACCTTTATAAAATGGTTTATTTGTTTTAAATCTGTAGCTCGGAAACTAAAGATCTATTAAATTTATTTTTTGCAATAAGCTCGATAATATATAATCTGCATTTTACTGAAGCGCACGTCGTGTTTTGTTTGAATTACTCTCATCCCAAACGGCCAGGCTTCTTCTTATTTAAATATTTAACAGTATATGTCGCATTTCTCATCGCCATTGTTTCTCATATTATCTAAATCGGGAAAAGGTAGACTATTCTCCGTTTTCAGAACTCGGAAAATGTTTAGATAGCATCGCATGAAGTGCATTAACATTTAAATGGATGTACGAGTAAAAGGTACTTCTAATTACTTTATAGAAGGTGAAGACACTAGAGGTACAGTTAAAAGGTTCATTTATTAACATAATTATCACTGATTTGGATGCTTTAATTTTGTTTCATTACAAAAAAAAAAAACAAAAAAAAAAACAGATATTAAAGCTTCAGGAACTACGGTTCCATTTATCGAATCGGTATAAAGTTTAAATATATAAGTCATCACAGAAAAATAAAACAAATATGTATCGTGTATGCGTACAAAGGAAATATCGCGCAAGGTGTCAATTGGAAGTATTGGTATTAGAAAGATTGTTAATGGGTGGTTATGTTGACAAGAAATGTGTTACAAGTTACTCGCAAAGCCATAGTTTTATTGACAGAAATGCATGATGGTTATTCAAAATTTCAAGGTACAATTTTGAAGACCACTGAGACCGATGCATCTTTTACAGTTTGATATGATATAATTTTTTTTATCACAGAATTGTAATATGTACAAATATCGGTTTACAATTATGTTACTATGAATATACGCACTTAAAAATGTTGTTTTGATAGAATAGAATTGATCTCACATTGTATGTCTTTGTTTTAAAATCGCATTTATAAATACACACTACAGTAAACCACTTATTTCTACATAAAAATGAAAATAATATCGTTTATGATTTTGTTTTAAACTTTTTTTTAGTAAGTGAGACCTTGATTAGTAGCAATACTTTGTGCGACTGAAATAAAATAAAAAGCACGTCGTGCAGTTTTATTGTAGTAATCCTAAATGACGATACGAGTTCTTAATAACATACCCACTGTAATCCATACAAACACCCTTATCGCCGAAATTGAAGGTCGTTACATTGCTACCTATATTATACAGTACTGTACAGAAAAAAAATAATTTCAACATTTTTAATCCACACTATGTCCAGGATAGCAGGAAATATTAAGTTAAATATTTTAGTTGTTAAGTTGACAAAAATCACCGGATGGAATACAGGATAAACCAGCGACTCAATGAGGAAGATTTATTTATTGAAGTGATTAATAGCATCCCATTCGTTGTTTTAATTTTGTTTTAATTTATATCATTCTATTCAATATCTAGGAAACATTACATACACTTAATAAAGATTAAATATTAAATAGAATTAAGTGTTGTAACCAACATAACTCTAACCAATAAAATAATGTATAGCAAGCCCTACTTCAAAAATATAATTTCGTTCATTTTTCCACATTTTTGGTTTTTAAAATTCCCCTGTTAAAGACATGTGGGAAGTCTATGAATTGTGATATTTAAGGAAAATACCTTAACAGATGGAAAATACCAGGTACACAAAAAACATTTTAGTCAAGCATACGACAAAAGTCAGAGAAAGCAAAACAGGGGAATTACTATCCAGCGGCGGACGCGGCGGCAGTGACGACGTCGAAATAAACTATTTGTATAAAGCTTTATATTTCATGGATCAGAAGGTCAACGACCTGGATGCGGCATACTTTGTGTTACGAAGTTTCTGTTTGTCAAATGTCAATTGTCCTTGACTTAATTTTCATGGATCAGAAACAATTTGTAAAAAAGGTGTAGCTTTCTGTCATGTTAAATAATCAATTATTATGAGTAATAGGATAACTATATTTGGTATAACGTATTACCAGATGAGTACTGTCAGTAAAGCTGATAAGTTCGGTACTCTCGGATTTTTACATCTTCAATTTATATATGTAAAAAAGTATATCGAACTTCTCTGTTTTCTGCACTGTTCGACGACGAGGGGGGTATTTAACGACCTTGACTACCTATGAGGGTTTGGCACAGTCGGTGGTACTGTTTGTTTCGGATTTAAGAACTTTTATCGGACCTAATAGATCAAAATTGCTTACCTGACAAAGGGTCTGACATGATAGCAATGTTGGGCAGTCATACGATTTTCAACAGCTCTGGTTTTCGAGAAAAAAACAGATGGATATTACTTGTTTAAGCGGATTTCGGAAATTCGACGTACCAAATGTTCTGATGAGAAAAAGAAAAATAATCAGATTCCCGAGTTATTTTTAACATGTTGCGACTAGGCATAGTTTGGTCAACTTTTCATTATTATATCTACGACTGAAATGATCTTAAAAACAAATTAAGATTAAAATACCACTCGAAATAAACCCGAACTATTTCACGCGGATTTTTAGGTTCTTACGTTTTGTGAAACGGTTGGCTGCTCATAATACAAAATACAACTCTATCGAAAGTTTAGAAAACGAAAAAAAAAAAACACCGTTTGAATCTTTACTTCCCGATGTCACTGAATTACAATAAAAAACACAGAATATCGCAAATAGAAGAAGAAAGAATTCCGCTTTTCGGGTAATTTGTGATGACGTATTTACCCCCCACGTAGAAACAAAATGGTATATATTGCCTGATACCACTAAAGGCAATGCCTTTAAAAATTAAGAAACACAAATCAATACTAAACAGGTGATTTAGTTCCTATTCATAACAAGAACCATTCGTTTTCTTACCATTAATCTTAATCGGTAATAATTTGCACTCATCATTGGTGTGGGTGTGAATGAGATTTACTGAATAGTGAATAATTGCTCATAAAATAATAATGCAATGGACATGGTATACGTTTTAACATTGCCTTGTTTGTTGAAAGTTGTTCAGAATGTGTCATGTTTCTCAGTTTAATATAAATCCGCTAGATTTTCGAACACGTACACTGTCTGCAGTGGATCCTCCGGGCAGCTGTCAACACGGCTTATTTAAGATTATTTTAGATTTTTGATAAAAATGCTGTTGTATGTGTTTAAATGGAAGTCTGTAGGATTAATTAGTATAAATCAATAAATCCTCATTTTTAGACCATTTTTCTTTTTTCTTTATTTATCATGTTTATTTTGTCTATTATTGTCTATTCTGTATATGTTAGCACCCAATTATTCTCTATTTATTTTTATAATTTTGGCCTATTTTTCTTTTTATATTTTTATGGTCTTTTATTCTGCACGTTTTGCCTAGTATTTTCAAGACCCCTATATTCACCGCGATCATCATTTATTTTCATGAAATTAAAAGTTATTGCATTAAGCTTTGCGATAATTTATATGCGTGCTGTACCAAGGTATCATATTTCAAAGACCCATTTTCTTTAGGAGTTTCTGTGACCAAGTGGTCTAAAAAGAAGGGGCGAAAGATACCAGAGGGACAGTCAAACTCTTAGATCGAAAATAAACTGACAACGCCATGGCTAAAAAATAAAAAGACAAACAGACAAATAAAAGTACACAAGACACAACATTGAAAACTAAAGACTAAGCAACACGAACCCCACCAAAAACTGGGGGTGATCTCAGGTGCTCCGGAAGGGTAAGCAGATCCTACTCCACATGTTGCACCCGTCGTGTTGCTCATGTTATTACAAATCCAGTAAATAGTCTTATTCGGTAGGTCACATTCGTAGTGAAAAAGGAAGTGGATTGTAATTACGACATAAGGAACATATCCGATATCATCTGTGAAACGGTTATTCCATAACGGTCATCCAACTCGTGATGGCGTCAGTAAAATTTACGAAGGGACCATTTCAACTTCACCATTTAGAACTCTTGGTTTAATAGCTTCCTTGTGAGCAGCAACCCTCTATCAAGGAAATCATGATAGGAAATACAAACCCGGGAATATCGTATCAATTGGGAGATATATACTCCGTATGCAGGCGCTGCTGGAATGTTGCTACATAGAAATGGAAAGTTGACAATTGGGAAGCTGAAATCATCTCTTTTGTCGTAAAGTTTTGTTTTCAACCGACCCTCATTGTCAATTTCTAGATGTAAGTCAAGATATGAGGCATACTTAACTGTATCTGTTGTATCCTTTATCTCTAGTTCGATGGGATAGATGCGTTCAATATAGTCACCAAATTTTGAATTATTTAGTGAAAGAATATTATCTATATAGCGGAAAGTAAAGTTAAAGAATATTGCTAACTTCTTATCTTTCTTCCTAAGAAGTTCCTGTATGAAGTCAGCCTCATAATAATAAAGAAACAAGTCGGCAAGAAGAGGGGCACAATTGGTTTCCATTGGAATGCCGACAGTCTGTTGAAAAACACGTCCTCCAAACCTAACAAATATGTAGTTAATCAAGAAATCAAGCATCTTGATAATGTCAGTTTCAGAGAATTTTTTGTTTGAATCAGAGTGATTCTTTGCGAAGTAGGACTTATCCCTCCCCAAGACAAGATACTTGTATCTACGTTCGCCATTCTTTTTTATGAAACAAAGCAATACCAACTCTTACAATTTGTCTTTTAGTTTAGAATGGGGAATACTTGTGTAAAGTGTAGAAAAGTCAAATGTTTTATTACTATTGCAAGATGAGAGAGTATTAGATTGTATGTACTCTAAAAGATCTTTGGAATTTTTTAGTATCAATATCTGATACACGCCACCTCTAGAATAGGCAGTTTCACAATAACTTTGAAGCCCGGCTTTGATTGCTGATAAAATAGATGTTAATAATTTAGAAAGAGGTTTCGTGGAGCACTTGGAAGACCCAGCAATATACCGTTGTTTGTAAGGACACTTATGTAGTTTAGGTATCCAATATAGTGATGGAAGATCCAGTTCTTCATCTTTGGTTGAAATTTCAAAGGAACATAGAACTGACCTATGATTATCCAGGATTTCCTCTTTGGTAAGTGTCGTGAGGGTATATGTTGAGTTTCCAAGTGAATTGTCAATACCTAATTCCTTTATTAAGCAGTTTATGTAATGAGATTTACACACAAAAACGATGTTGTTTCGGGCTTTATCTGCGGGGACAACAACATATTTGTCATGGAGGTAGGACAAGTGTTTTGCAACATTTGGGTCTTTAAAGATTGACGTAGCATGAGTATTGATAGACCCATTTAGCTTCTTAATTCTGATTTGTATCAACGACCTCACAGCCTTAATCCATTCAGAAAGAGTATCTACGTCTTCTTTTTCGCGTTTAGCCCATTGCCTGTCATAATCCTCGACCGATGATAGACAATTCACTGATGTTTTAATAAATTTTATGTACAACGTACATACCTTTAGAAACACGTTTGATTTTGACTAAACGATGCTTATTTTGTTTTTAAAGAAAAGTAATGGTTTTGATTTTTCTTTAAGAAATTATATTATATTATATTATTCGTTTTGTTGGATCCTCAAGCTAAACTCAATTAAGTAGACTATTTTAAAACCTTGTCAGAAAATACATTGCTCACCTTTTTTATCTTTATAATCTGAGAAAAGACCATTAAGTATTAAAAAAATATTTTGTATTATACAATCCTGCTAATAAAATAACAGATGCAGAAAAATTGTATTAATTTTAAACTATACTTGTTGTTATATTGTATAATTAACATGTTAAACTTTTGTTGAATTGCTTTCGATGTTGTTTTAATTGACTACATGTAACTGTTTTATTGTGAAAACACGTGCTGTCTAGTGAATTTTTATTGAACATATTTGAAGAAAAGTTTATCAAGAAAAAAGTAGTCGAACTACTGTATCTGTAACCCCTAAACACTGAGGTTGTGAGTTTTAATCCTGCACGTAACTTGTGCGCTCCACGTCCATCTTATTTGACAAGAATTGTCAGTTTTCCTATCAATGATCCGTGGTTCTCTATGCCACTCAAACTCCCTTCGACAATGAAAGCTAGCTGCCACAAAATAAATAGTTAAATGGTACTGAAAGTGGCATTAAACGCCAATTTGATGATATTCTTTCTATTAACAATCCAAAATTTTCTGATTTTGTTTCCTAAATATATCCTCCAGTTATAAATTTCCCCCACCTTAGTAGCAGTATACAAACTTCACCTGTATACTAGTATTCATGATACATTTTCCAGCTCGTTTGATATTCAAAAGTTTGTAGCT